GTCTAGAAAAGCGCTACATAAATCTTTTTTTGTTTAAATTTCATCTTAACATTTTGCATTTGTTGCTACTTTTCTGCTGCTTTCTTTCAATGTGCAAACAAATAAAAAATAAAAGGACTGTCATTGTCAGTTTTGTCCATGCCTTCATCATCACCTGAAGATAACTCCTACCGATTTTGATCATCTTCTTATATAATGCAACCACGAGGCACACATTATTGCAACAGGTGTGAGAGGAGTCTGCAGGTACGCTGATGGTAAATAAGGTGTTTTAATATAATGGCACCACCTAATCGTTCATTTTAATACAAAATGATGTTGTTTTAATGAATAATTTTACCTTAAAAATGTTGCAAAATAATCAGAAATGACCATCACGATGTTAGACCTAGCAGAAGTTTTTTCATTTTTGTTGTTAAGTTGTGATTTTGACAGAGTTCTCCAACAGCTCAGCATCACTCCTGCATCACTATCAGACTCACAAAACTCTCTCCTGTTAGCATTCACAACCACAGAAACTCTTCATTCACTGCATTCTTCTTTCTTGTTACAACCTGACGCCGACATTACCCACAATGCAACGAAATCCCTGACAGTCCAGACAGCGATTTGTGTGTTTTTAGTTAACGTGGGGCGTCCCGGTAGCTCAACAGGTTGAGTCCCAGACGCAACAGCCACGGCTCATTTGCTGCATGTCTTCCTCCACTCTTCTCCCTACCTGTCCTGTCTATCTCCACTTATCTCAACATTACAGGCACCAAAGGCCAAAAAAAAAAGAAGTAGTTATTGTGGCGTCAGTCTGCTGGACAGCAGAAAAGTTTTCAGACCCAATTACTGCACATTAAACATCACTGATAGAATAGAATTAGATCAGTTCCTGCTGGAAATGTTTCTAATTCTATTACATCTGCATTTGTTGGAAACTCTGCACTGGTTACTTCATGTGATCCAACAGATACTAGACAAGCAACTCTGAACATCGATGTCACACTTCCCATTAATTTTACATCATTGCTGACTGAAGCACAAAAGCACATATGAGTCAAGGTACAGGATGTGCTCTGCTGTTGCTGTTAAAATGAGATCAGCTGTTGTGTATTAAATTAGATCAGAATAGGTGTCTGTCTTTAGCAGCCATTAACAAATGAGAGGCTACTGGGAGGAACACTGTTTTTAGAAAAATATGAACACCACATGTTTTGCTCAGAGGCAAAGAAATGTTGTGCACTGTGATCATACAGGATCAACAGGTCACAAGAGACACTTATTCTGATTTAATTTGAAACACAAGATCGTTTTTTTAAATGCATGAGAGAAAACCGAAAGGGAGATATTGTCTATACACAAAAACCAACCGCCCACCTACACAACTATGCAATTAAAATTTGTGCCTTTGTCTCTCTGCACCATCAGCACAAACACAGCGGGGCTCTAGTTGTGTAAATGGCCCAGAGTCTCATTTCCTCCTCTGGGTCAAGTCAGTGTTGCCTTTCAACATCTTGTCCTATCACAGCGTCACGCTTAATGAACTCGCGGCACTCCTTTGTTTGCCGATACGAGTTTGACTTTCCTTTTTTTTGTCCCTTACTTTTCGTCTCCACGCCTTCCTCTTTCACTTCTTCTTTCCATTTCTGTTCAGAATTGTTTTCTGGTTTTGCTTGTGTTTTCGTTTTATTAGTAAATAATAAACAAGTACAGATACAAAATGATCTAAGCCCAGCTCTGTGTCATTCTTTTATTTAATTTGCACTTTCTTAGCTGTGCCCCAGGACTGTCTTTGCTTCAAGATTGTCTGGTTCTGAAACGTAAACAATTAAACTCTCAAGTTTACTCAAATATGCGCAGCTGTCCGCTCACATAGATCTGCTTCCAGTCAGTCCAATCCTTTACTAGCTGTGGGAGGTTTGTTACACAAAACATGCAGACTGTGTCAAATTATCCACAGAGGTACATGCTATGGGGGCTTCTCTGTGTTTTTGGCGCTCTATGACCATGCTGCAGGAAATGAAGCTTGTGAAAGAGCAGAGTTTAAAACATCAGCGGTGTGCCATGAAATGTTAACAGGCCCGGTTTGGTTTGTGTGCTCTGGCGGCATCTGGTGACCAAACGGCAGCTTTTGTGCATGACTTAGCCCCAGTGCCAGACTGTAGACAGAAACACCACGACACGAAACATACATACAGACAGTCATGTAGTTACCTGTTAGACACACCGGTATAACGAAAACAACTGCTAAAAAATATATATTTTTTTTTAGTATTTGTGAAAAGGGAACATTTATAAAGACTGAATTAACATGAGGAATATTCATAAAACAGCATTTTTTTTTTGCATTCTAAACCCTTTTTGGGCCAAGTGACCATATTTGGTAACTTCCTTGGACGTTCAATATGTCCGACCTGCGCCTCTCGCTGCTTAACGACTGCCACTGAGAGAATGAGGAAGAGTTTCTTCCCTCAGGTCATTTGTTTGCTCAACTCTGAGCCTTAGACTGGATTGTAATGCACCACACACTGGCACCTTTAAATATTTTACACCTTGTACAATACATTTGCTTTATTTGAATAGATTTTATTTTGTTATTTATCTATGTATATATATATTTCTTGAACACTTTAGGTATCTTATTTTATTTTTATTGTTTTTTTGCAACTGGATGCAGGTACTAAGCACATTTCACTACGCATTGCACTGTGTATAATTGTGTATGTGACGAATAGTGACGAATAAAAGTTTATGTCTTATTTCTCTCTGTCCTTGAGGTTGACGAACCACATGCACTTTGATTTAGTTTTTATATTTGTGCCAATATCACGACTGTACGAAAAAATGTCACTAAACAAATGTTCCAGGCACTTTATGAAGACTTTGTTCCTTTTTTTTTGAGATTAGTGCCAAAACCACTACCCCAAGAAAAATGTGACTAAATGAACTCGCCAAACACTTTATAAATACTTTGCTACTGCTTGTCTAAGTATCATCACCTCAAACTAAAAAGCTTCTAAATAAATGTTTTTGCAGTTTGTTACTTTTTCTTTTATTTATTATAAATTCCCTTTTTTTTTTTTTTTTAACCCTAGACGGGCAAGTTACCATATATGGTAACTTTATTAATCTTGATTTTTCTTGATCTTGAATTAAGGGTTAACCTTTTTCATTCTTGTCAACAACCTTTAAATATTAATAATAATAATATTAAGATAAGATGATTATTTATTGACGAGATAATTATTATATAATATTCTGTTTTTAAGGACTTCAAACAGCTGATCGGAAGCAATTACACTCATATAAGCTGTAGAAAATAATGACTCAGCTATTTCAGTGAAGCTACGAGGACACGTCAAAGTCCGGCCTGTCGTCTCTACCTGTCTCCAGCAGTGAGAGCTCCCAGTTTTTCCTCTCCAGGTAACGGGGGTGAAGGGTCATCCAGGATCTTCTGAATCTGGTACTCGATCTCCCTGGGGGACAGCAGCCGGCCGGCCCGGTAGACCCACAGGCGGAAAAAGCGCCCCTTGTGGTACACCGCCACGAACTCGCTGTCCTGCCAGTGCTGGAGCACATCTATGGAGGAAAGGGGGATAAATCCACAGGATCATTGTTTAAATCTGCAGACATAAACAAAGGTTGTGGGGAAAAGAGAGCAGCAGCCTGACATGCAGCGAAGGTCTGAGTCCAACAGAGGACTCAGCTGCTAAATACATGTTTTAGTGTATGTGGTATGCGTCCTAACCACTCCCCCTCAACATAGAGGTCTGAAATGTGACCCTCTTTATGTGTACATAGCTTTGCTGGTGTCTCATTTATTCCCACTTTACATCTACACATACACACGTGGACAAAATTGTTGGTTAATGAACGAAAAACCCACAATGGTCACAGAAATAACTTGAATCTGACAAAAGTAAAAATAAATAAAAATTCTATGAATATGAAGCAATGAAAATCAGACATTGCTTTTGAACCGTAGTTCAACAGAATTATTAAAAAAAATAAACTCATGAAACAGGCCTGGACAAAAATGATTGCACCCTTAACTTAATGTTTTGACCTTTTGAGGCAATCACTGCAATCAAACGATTTCTGTAGCTGTCAATGAGACTTCTGCACCTCTTAGCAGGTATTTTGGTATTTCCTTCTCCAGATGCCATGTTTCAGCTCCGTCCACAGATGTTCAACAGGACTTAGATCAGGGCTCATAGAAGGCCACTTCAGAACAGTCCAGTATTTTCCTCTGAGCCATTCTTGGGTGTTTTTAACTGTGTGTGTTTTGGCTCATTATCCTGCTGCAAGACCCATGAGCTGCGACTGAGACCAAGCTTTCTGACACTGGGCAGCACATTTCTCTCTAGAATACCTTGATAGTCTTGAGATTTTATCAGATTCAAGACACCCTGAGCCAGATGCAGCAAAGCAGCCCCAGAACATAACAGAGCCTCCTCCATGTTCCACAGCAGGTACAGTGTTGTCTTCATGATATGCTTCATTTTCACGTCTGTGCACATAGAGCTGATGTGCCAAAAAGTTCCACTTTTGTCTCGTCTGTCCATGTTTTGTCATCGTGTGTTTGCCGACTGTTGATTCCAGGAAGATGATTAAGTGTAAAAACTCCAGAATTCTATCCAATCAACGCCAAACTATCGTACGCATCTGCAGAGACGAGGAGTGTGCAGCTCCACGTGTTATTGGTTCTACTTTCATTCTACTTCACAGCTTTGTCTGTTACACAATGGAAGACATCAATCGATGTGTGTGTGTGTGTGTGTGTGTGTGTGTGTGTGTTACCAGTCTCAGTTCCCGGTGTGCGCGTTGTGTTGAACATCCTCTCACACTGAGCAGCACACAGAGGGATGACGGTACCTGGGACACGACTCTGACGCACAGAGACACACACATGTATTATTCATTTTTCGGATGTTGGTCATTAAACGGGCCCGAATATCCGGAGCCCAGAAACTGCCCTACTGGTTTCACTTTTGTCTTGACTAGAACTTGTTGATAGCTACACATCAGCTAAGAGTCATTTCAAACGACAACACAAACAATAGCCAAAGTAATCGTCACTGTGCAGTCTCACCGGCTTGAGCTCCTCTCGGTTGACCTTGCGGCGGTAAAGCAGCAGGGCGGTGATGGTGTTTCCTGCCCTGGCCGCCTGCACTGGGGTCGGTGTCACGTACAGAAAATCCTGGAGGGGAGCGCACGCATTACATAAACAAAGGAAATGAGAATAAAATGTCATTTACAAATGAGAAAAGGAAGGAAAGGGGTTAACGAGGACTGTCGAGACGGGTAAGGGGAGGACAGCACGTTTAAAAAAGGAGAGAGATGCAAGAGAGAGAAAAGATAAAGACAAATCGGTTTTGGCTCAACCTACTCTACAACATTCAGGAGACATACAACACATTAGAGTACTTTAGTGAGATGTAACACTGTGAAAGCTGGTTACCATGCCGTAGTAGTTGCTGTTGACCATGATGGGACTTCGGCTCCTCAGGTAGATGTATTCCTCCCACCAGTCACTCACCTGGAAACGAAGCAGGAAATTAAAAGATTTTAACCTTCGTAAAGTTTTTCCAAAACTGCTGAATTTTAGTCACTAATAATTCCTCCAGGTCATTGCTAAGCCTGGACACTATCTTTTAAAGGTTTAAGACATTGATGGAAGTTCAGGGAGTGTGGAGTGAAACGTTATTTAGGAGCGTGTCACAAAACCGTAACAAAGCGCAATAAAATGCGGGAGGTTTTCACATGTGTTAAGGCGGTATTGTAATTAGCTCAACATGCCCGTAAATTCAGCCACTTAAACTCGAGCCAAGTTTAAAATGTGTTGCAATCACTTCTGTGTTTGTTTTGCCTTTAAGTAGCTGCATGTGTGCAACACATTGAGCACACTGAATCCTTAAACTAGGCTGAATTTAACAGCGCTGAGTGGATGCATTTCAATCTAATGTCTTCTGATATTGAAACAAGCTACAAGGCTGGAAGTCGAGCAGATTTTTGACGAATGTGAGGAGCGTGAGGCTTACAGACCGTCAGCCTATTAGGTGAGTAGACTTATTCATCTGCCAATTTCATTTGGCAGATGCTTTTATCCAAAGCGACATACATCTGAGAGCCGAAACAGTACTTACTTGTGTTTTTTAGGTACTTGTGCTTTATTAGTGTTTCCATTTTACGCTCTTTTGTTCTTGTAATCCACAACATTTCAGACAGAGATGTTAAATTTCTTACGGACTGTTCAATTCAATTTAAATCAGCGGTTTATTGTTAAATCAGTTACACGAGTAAACAGAGTCAGATTATTTGGTTCAGTACATTCATCTGACAGGTGTTCAGCAGACTAAATAAAAGCAAAAAATGTTATTAGGTCAAAAAATATAGTATGATGCAATAAGCCTTAACTGATCCCTTTGGGGAAATGTACAAGCTACCCAGCAGTATGTGAAGTAAATCAAATTTTTACCAGCTGCATATATAAAGTGAAGTACACATTACTGCACCAATGATTATGCCGTTACTGTAGTGCCTCAGTCCTGTTCAAAGTCACTACTGGCTGCTTAAGGGAATTGTTTGGACGTGCGCCCAGTGCACTCCAGACACAGCAAAACGCAGGTTATGTCGTTAATACGGCAGGTTTATTTCCCTTTATAAATCATACACGTAAATATGATACTAACTCATAATATACTTAGAAACAAAATAACTGTTCACCTCACACAGGCGAAGTCGAAATACTGTTTGGTTCTCCCAAACACCTGCCTCTGGGTTGACCTTGATTAAATGGTCTCATTCTGGCTGACCTCCGGTAACCTCAGTCACATATAATACAGCCCCCTATAGGCATGGAGCATACAACCCCAAAAAAATGAAATGAATGAATTTGGCTTCTACAGTTACATAATAAACACTTTTGGTACACTGAGTATTTTTTTTATGCTAATACTTTTGGACTTTTGCACAAGCACATTTTTGAATGCAAGACTTCTACCAGGGAGAGTATTTGTATACAGTGGTACGGCTACTTAACAGATGTGAGTGAGCGGTTCGGCTGATATATAACACAGAAATTATTAATTATTAACCCGTGCAGATCTGATTTTGTTTCTACTTTTGTAGGTTGTTTGTCCCATTTAATTGGATTTGACTATTAATGCATGTTGCATCCTCAGAGGTATCAGAAGCCTTTTTGTCGATGATTGTCGGTCATGTTCTTGTTAAATTATGTGACTTTTGTTTGTACTCTTTTCTTTACCTTGGTCTAGCAAAGTAAAGGAGTCAGATATATACTGATAACTGGTTGTCTGTTGTGTGCACGGGCTGCATTTTAAGAAAAATAATAGATATTTGGTTTGAAAAATGGGACCAATGTTGTGTTTAGTATTTGTAATAATTTATATCATATGCGTAGGTATGTGTGTGTAAATTCACTTACATAGTTGGTGGCCCACAGAGCTTTAAGTTTTAGGTAGCGCTGCAGGCGGTTCCCCAGGTTGGACTCAAACTGATTGGCCAGGCGTGTCATCCGTTCAAACTCTGGATCAGTCAGCAGAGGGCGCACTGACTCCAAGTACTGAGAGACAGAGAGGGAAGGTAAACAGCAACAGTCATAATCTGATTCTGGCTAAGAGCCATTTAATTATTTCACTCAGGTCAACATGAGTGAAGGGTTTCATGCCAGTGTGTGTGTGTGTGTGTGTGTGTGTGTGTGTGTGTGTGTGTGTGTGTGTGTGTGTGTGCACTCACCCTGCTCAGTGTGTCTTTGATGGTAGGAACAGGCAGGTGAGGTAGAGAGGTCTGATAGCTGTACAGCAAAGGCTTCCTGCTTGAAAACAACCTCACCAGAGTCTAAGAGAAACAGACAGGTTCAGGGTTTTGGCACAGATGATAAATGTATGTTCAGAATTACAACCATTATCAATGGGATTCAAGGTACTGTGGAGGTTATAATCAAAGCGGCCACAGGAGGGAGCTGTGGAACCGGGCACAAGCGTGGCTTACCACCCAGACTTTCGTGGTGTTGGAGATTCGGCCGTGCTGTTCAAACATCCACTGGTGGTAGGAGAGCAGCAGCTTCAGGCAGAACCTGAGAGCCAGGATGAGGGAGAGCCACAGCAGAGTGCTGAAGACCAGCGCTGACACCATGGTCTGACCCTGGGCGCTGAGGGACACGTGGAGGCTGGACAGAGGGAAGGAGAGGAGAAGACATGTAAGATAAAAGTTATAAGAAAAAACATCAACTAAAAGTAAAATAGTTTGACAAATCAAAACATTTCTGTCAGTTTATAGATGAGAGAACAGCTATGCTAAGAATGTATGTTTAGATTTAGACTCAGATGTTTCAGGACAAGACTTCTGACCAACATTTCATTCAGTTTCTGTATCTACACACATTGAACATACGTTTTATGACACACTAATCTGGTTGTATGCAATCATGAAGACGTGCTACTAGTCATCTATTATAACTTCTCAGAAGACAAACTTTAAATTGTTTTGAATGTGTTTGACTATTGTCATGCCGTCATTCAGTGTCTGTTTATGTCTAAAACATTAACATGGAGTAACAGCTGCTATTATCTGCACTCTACTCTGACTCTATTCTCTCACAGCTCAACAGCAACATCTGCTGGATCCTTGAGGAAGTGAATGAATTTGGGTTTTTTTTTTTTAGCAGCATCTAACAGCGGAAAAATAAATATTAATGCAACAAAAAGGGCATAATAATGTAGGTTATGAGAATTATCAATGCTGGACAAAATGACATTACAGTAAAATATAATAATATAAAGAAACATACTGGATGCAATATACTGAAAATAAAGAATAAGCAATCAAATCAAATCAAGTCTTGTTTAAGTGGAGAACGTATTGCAAAAAAATAACATAAATAATATTATTCTGTGCATATGTTATTGTTGCTTTCTCAAGCAAGCGAGTTTAAGTATTTCGGGATCTTGTTCATGAGTGATGGGAAAATGTGGCGCGAGGTGGACAGGCGGCTCGGTGCGGCTCGGTGTGGCATCAGCAGTAATGCAGGCGCTGTACCGGACCGTCGTGGTGAAGAGAGAGCTGAGCCACAAGACGAAGCTCTCAATGTACCAGTCCATCTACCCAACCCTCACCTATGGTCACAAGCTTTGGGTCGTGACCGAAAGAACGAGACTGGGGACACAAGTGGCCAAAACGAGCTTCCTCTGCAGGGTGGCTGGGCTCAGCCTTAGAGATAGGGTGAGGAGCTCGGACATCCGGAGGGAGCTCAGAGTAGAGCTGCTGCTCCTGTGTGTCGAAAGGAGCCAGTTGAGGTGGTATCGACATCTGATTCAGATGCCTCCAGAGAGGCTTCCTCTGGAGGTCTTCCGAACACGTCCACCTGGGAGGAGACCCCGGGGCAGACTCAGAACCCGCTTGAGGGATTATATCTCTCTGGGAACACCTCGGGATCCCCCAGGAAGAGCTGGAAAGCGTTGCCGGGGGGAGGGAAGTCTGGGACGACCTGCTCCGCCTGCTGCCCCCACAACCTGACCCCGGATAAGCGGAAGATAATGGATGGATGGATGAATGGATGTTATTGCTGATTAAGAGTATTGTAAGTGTTACAATCCACCGCAGGTGTTCAAACATCTAACCCTCATGTTGGTTCAGGAACACAATATTTATTCAGCCACGCTTCTCGTTACAACCACGACCGGGAATGCCACTGTTCCTCCATTGTGTTCATATCTGACATTCTTTGTTGCTCATACATCAAATCTGCAGTCATTCCATTCAGGATTGTCATTGCGCAATACGCTGGTGTGTTTGCCTACAAGGTAGACAGTAAATCACTTTTGTTGCATGACGTATCTAAAACTACAGTTAGTGAAAAGACTGGTCGGGAAGTAGGGGAAAGTTCACGTCTAGGAGCCAAACCCACAGCGCTGTATGCTGACTCATCGCCGCAACGTGCCAAAAACTTACGATGCCTCTTCAGATGAGTCAAACGTGAGCCCTCCTGACTGTTGCTACATGTCAGACCAGCCTGTAAAGTGGAGCTGTCACTTCCAGCTGTGGGCGACTCCCAAGCATCTGATCTGATTTGATTTGATCATCACAGTGTTTAAAAGCCAGAGAAGCAGATATAGAATACTGAAGCTTCACCTCTAGAAGAGTAATATTTCATAGAGGTAGTTTAATTTCACAAAAGAAAAAAAATACGGAGACTGGACATCCAGAGTATATCTTAGTATCCAATAATTGCAAGGAGAAGATATAAAGAACTCATCTACTATATTATGAAACTTGGGTCTTATAATTATGAGATACTGCTCAAGAGATTAACTGAACAGGAAGTGGAGCTCATAAACATTAAACTTCCTCTTTTTTTTTTTTTTTAAAGTTGACATCTGTTCACACACTCCAAGACTGTTGTCTGACACGACATCTTCAAAATATAAAAAAAACATATTGATATTCGAAGCTCATACTCAGACTGTAAAAGCATCACAATCAGGGCTGGGATAATGTGACCATCCTGTATCATGGATCATCTTAACCTGATCTGCTTTAAAGAGGAATTCCGTGTCATTAGAGGGCCAATATGTATTTTATTCTGAAAGGTCAGTCGCTGCTAACGAGGTAGCTTTGGCTTATTCCATCTTTTGTTTCTCAACCAGCAGGCTGTCCACGTCACCATTGTGGCAGCCCTTTATCTCATTCAGCTGCCTCTCCACTGACTCGTTTCAAGGACGGACGCCAACTCCGTCATCTTGGTTCATGTCCACCAGTGATGAGATAGCTGCCGCTTGCACTACAAGACAGAGTTGGTGCTCATCCATGGGACAAGAGACTCACTGGAGAGGCAGAGGATCAATGGCACGCTTATGGTGAATGAAAAACAGGTGTCTGACATCTTAAAAGAAGCTTCAAAGCACTTCCAGTCAGAACTTTGAGAGGAAAACCAGAGTGCCGACAGGATGTCTTTTTTTTTTTAAGTCAGGCTTTTGGCCTTGAGCTGAAGTGACTAGTTTTGTATCCAGGCAATCGCAACTGATGATGTAATCACATGAGTTCACTGTGTCTGGGGAGAGAACTGTGTTCCAGTTTGTAGTAAGAGATCATCATATGATCAGATCAAAAGAGCATCGTATGATATTTTTGCCTGATCACCTACCTTTTGGCATAAAGCCTCCAATTTTTTAAATAGCTACAACTGATATCAACCGAATGAAAACAAAATCTGCATCTCATTGCTTAGACTTTACAACATAAGGTCCCCATGATGCTTTTTCCTTCTGTGAATGCGAAGCCCTTCTGTAATATTTGCCATCTGAAGAAGGTTAAAAACTTTTCCCATGTGTGTGTGTTTGTACCTGAGCGGCAGGTGCTGCTGTATCTTGGCGATGAGGCCCATGCTGGGATCTGACTGCATGTACATGGTGGCCAGGATCCCAATGGCGACAAAGAGCCAGGAGGAGGGGCTCGCAGGGAACACCCCCTTTATCACTCTGTTCTGGTATCGCAGAAGAAGAACAAATGATGGATTAGTTAACTGTGTTACCACCTGAAGCAAAGCAGCTGATTACTTCTGGAAACAAGGGCAGCTAATACCTTTCAGAAGTGAGCCTATGAACCATGACACCCTCTTAGCCTCAGGTAGCTTTAACATCACGTAGAGACACTGAAGGTACTTGATCAATCAGTTACAGAGCGCGATGTTGAATCAGTTCTTAAAACCAAACAAGCTGTGTAACTTCAAATACGTTTCAAGCACTTCAACCCTGAGTTAAACATGATACACTGATTGGTTTATTATACTTCTAATGCCAAAGAGTGAATTTAGCCATTTTTTATTGATATGGCACATTTAAAAAACAATAGAAGATGATCCAAAGCGGTTTCCAGTCAAGATTGAGGTAAGTTATATAAATAAAATAAACACTATCGTACCAAAAAACGACCTTTTTTCTGGCCTCACAACACTCTCTTTGCATGGACTCGCCAGAGGAGAATTGTAAAGAGACGAGGGGAAACCAGAGCACAACAAGTACGCTCGACAGTTGATGCACACGTGAACAGCTGCGTCTTCGCCAACCCGGCAGGACAAACATGCATGTCGGTACATGTTAGGAAGCACTCATCATTCTTAACTTACACAGATGGGAATTCACACCCTGTAATAAGGCCTTCTGTTCTCAGCTACTTCCTGGACACAAATTACATCCCAGCACGCTTCCTACCTCTTGTAACCACAAGTGGCACGTGCTGATATAGCTGAGAAACTCAGGCATCTGTCTACAGCTGGTTAAACCGCTGGTTCAACTCCTGTACTTCTGTGCTTTGGCTGGCTGTTAGGGCTAGACCTTTACAAAACAAAAACATGCATTTGCTTGAGTCTTTTTTTAACTGTGTTCTCACCCCGTTGGGATGCAGCGACAGAGTTACGTAGCTGGCACATGCAGGGCCGAAACAGAGGCCGTGAGGAGATTTAAATGTCAACAAAACAAGGAAATCCTTTTGCGAGATACGTGGGCAACCTGTGGCATTGAAGGCAGGAAACGCAGCAATCCCTTTTCAGCGTTCGAAAATTTACTATCCCACCGAGTACACAGAAAGTCAAAGTCCAGCCCAAAGGCAGTAGAAAGCTGCGAGCACACCCAAGTTTGCAAATGTTTCATCCATGAATCAGGGCTGGAGTGGTGTGACTGTCAGCTGAAGAAAGAAAGGAGCATAATCCTAACGGTTATACATCAACCACGGTGGCTCTTGTGCCTTTTAATCAAATCAGGAGTAAGTAAATAGAAATGCTATTTAATTAAATGGAAAGTGAGTGGGCGCTTACATGCAAAAATGCTTCAAAACCAAGTGGTGTTGACAGTCCACAGTGCTGCAGCAGTCACTCACGTCTGCCTTTCTTGTCATAACCAAGTCCTCTCTGTGGTAGAAACCTGTCTGTGGCTGTTTGCCACATTATTCTAATGAGTACATCTTATTATTATCTAGCACACAAAAGAAAATGCAACAGCCACTCCAGTGTATAAAGACCGATATGTTCTCAACAGTATGCTGGTTTTACGTGACATTTATTCTGAACAGCATTGTGGCTGCTGCTTTGCTGAAGCATAAATGTTAAAACATGTTGGTATCAAGCTGTTGATTTAAAATAATGATATTTAACCCTACAACTGTCTTATTTTAAAAAAAAAACTTTTTTTTTAAAATTTGGCAGCTTCGTCGATCTTTGCTTCCTCAAATTAATGTTTAAATGCCTCAGTAAATCAGCGCCAAAGCCACTCTGTGGATTCATCCATAGACAGGACGGCAGCAGGGTCACCAGAAGCTCCACCAACAACAACTGCACAATAGCGTACCGCAGAACTACATTTGGTCAGACAGCCTTTTCAATCAAAGGCTGTCACACCTGGAACGCGTTACCAAATGAAATTAGTGGATTTAAAAACTTTAACAGCAAAACTTAAGAACTGGCTGAAAGAAAAACAAGAAAACACCTACGACATGTATACAGTCCGACTGACTGTGGATTGTGCCATTTTGTGTGTGTGTGTGTGTGTGTGTGTGTGTGTGCGGGTGGGTGGGGGATTATAAGTTCATAATGTTGTCTGTGCTGTTTTTATTGGTGTTGCTGGTCCTTTACTTATTTTTGCTGAAAAGCCCAACCAGGGATGGGAGTTGAAAATTAGCTTAATGCTGTACACTCCATATGTAATACGTCAGGTGTTTTTTAATGTAAAAATGCACGGTCCCTGATCAAATAAATAAATAAATGAAAATGAAAATAACAACCCTTCATTTGATGTATTTAGGATTCTGTCCGAAGCCGAACACAATGTTTTCCGTTGAACTTTAAATTAACAGCTTCCTTGCAGAGTTTTTTTTGGTAAGCAAGAAAGTTATGTTTACTCACAGCGTTACTGAATAAAGCACAATCTATTCATCCATCAGCTCTAACTAATGTGTTGAATAAGTTTCCTTACATATTGATCAATATTGACCCTGTAACACCAAATGTTGTCATATTTAAAACAGGGTTTTTTGATCCTCTACATCATCAATGTGGTATTTTTTTTTGTATACAACCAAACATTCAGTGTGCAGGTAACCCACCATGGATCAGTAATTCATGCACCAAAAGTTATACAAACTAAAACTCAAATATGAAAATTTATTGTTTTTTAAAACAGTCTATTTTCAAAAAAGTTGAATTTTCTGGCAATTATTTCATGGCTCAGGCTTTACAGGGTTGAGAAGAATATTCAGCAGACGTTTTGGCCACATGGCCGGGCCCTACTGGCCACCATGACTCAGTAGCTCTCCTCACAGTGCTGACTCAGCTCAGTTCAAACCTAATTATCAGACATCTGATTTAATTAACAAAAGTCTGCACTTTAAAGTGGTAAAATTGAAGAGCAAGTGTTTCAGCTATAGATGAGAAGAGTAACCCTATGGCTGATATGGACAGCTAGGCGGTGTCAGTTTCCTCGATTCTGGAGAACATAGACTATGTGACGACGGCAAAACTGTACTGTGCCCCTTAAGTTCACACATATAGTGTTGTGGTGACTCAAGAGCTTTCCGTCATCCTCACCCTCATGCGGCTGACTCTTTTCTTCCAGGATCGTACTCCGGACAGGTAGATCTGGTTCAGGGCCTGATAGGACAGCTGCAGATCGATGCCTTCTGGCGTGATGGTGAACTGGAACGCCACAGCCTGGTGGGCCTCCGCCATTGCTATGGAAACACAAGCAAACAGACATTTAAACACAAATCGAATTAAATCATTTACTGATGTTTGACAAAAACATTTTTTTAAAAACCACAACTGCTGCTTTAACATAAGTTATTTACGAGGGTTGTGGCGTAATTACTGTGTGATTATAGACAGGAGTTGACAACCCGTGATTACCTGATATCTAGTTAGTTTCACGCCATAAACCGCCCAAAACGGCCAGTTTTACAAGCCAGCGGGCAGCTCAATGCGCCACTCTGTGTCACAACACTTGAGTAATTTAATGTGTCAGTGGAATGTTGTTGTCTCGCTGAATCCTGCTGCAGCACCAAGAACACAGAGCTGCTCCCGGTTCACTGCTCCGTTATGGGGAGTTTGACCAAACCTTCTGATAAACAACAGATTCATCTATACTAATCTACTATTTCATGACGCCTTAAAATCTTTGTGATTCAGGTTGTGAACAGCTTCCTATATACTAGTCCAGTATGCACCCTGGTGCCCCACCTCTGCAGTCAATTATCGAGCAACCATCAGTCTCTGTCTGATATTATGAATTATTGAACACTTATGAGCTACAACCGCTGGCATCACACCGGCAGCTAAGCAGCGAGGAAAATGCCCGTCATTTATCTGTTGCTGGTTTATAGATTTAAATAACTGGTAACAATATGCAAAGGTATGACCAGGACATCTCCGTCTGAGAAATGCTGCACATTGTACTGTGTCAGATATGTGAATTTTATCGGTCTGTACAACAAATGATAGCATCAACAGGTCAGCAGCGGTCTGCTCTGTTTCTGCACGGTCCAGTTTTTATGTGCATTTACTTCTCTCTAGAGCTGTTTTCATGGTTAAAAATTAGGTTTTGTTGCTGAAAAATACATTTCAAACACATTATCCAGCGCCCCAGTTTTTTTTGTCATCATTATCCATCATTTACGTGATATCTTATGCGCTCCAAAGCAGCAGAAGAGCTTCCATGGGCGCTCTTGACGACAAGGTAGTAACAGGCTGCAGGGTTGTTTCACACATTTTAAGACGTAATCAACAAAAAAAAAATAAATACCATGTCTACAGGAGAAAAATGCTGAATGTCAGAGCTGATAATCGAACCGATAATTGTAAATCCATATTCTTTACCCCCATTTTTCATTACTTATGAAGTAATTCTCCTGACAGCTTCTTCTCTTGAATTTTCTAACCAGGTCTGCCATCTCCTGCTCCACTTTCCCCTTTTTCTGCAAAGCTGCCTGGATTTTCTTCCCCAGGTCGTCCCATACTTGGATTCTACTACATAATAGTCATCCATCCAT